CTGAACTTTATGTTTTTTTTTTTTTTTTTAAATCTGCCCAACTTTCCTCTAAGTCCTCTAGATCACTGCAGATGTTCTGCTTATGTTTTAATTTACACACTAAGATATTTTCATTGTCTCAACAAAATTTTTGCTCAAGGAAATTCCCAGTCATTTAAAACAAAGACATTCTCTGATGTTATAGGTAGACACACGGCCTGTCTTCTCTGAGTTTGGGGTGATTAAAAAGTTGATTTTCTTTCTGTGTGTTTTAAAACAAGTCAATTTCCTATTATCTGAAACATTTAGTTTATTTATAATACTTTCAGTGGTTCCAAAGTGAGTATCTTGCCATTGGAGGAAAAGTAACTTTTGGTTATTTGATTTTTTTTTTTTTTGGACAATACTATATGTTTAAGCAGCTTAATTACAAATGTTGATGATCATCTCAAATGAAGTCCAAGTGCAAAGTATACTTTTCAGCTACTGATGATAACATCCACTTGACATGAAAGTCATTTTTCTATCTTTAGGTGGCCAAGAAAACGAGTTAAGAAACATACTGTGTTTTGTATAATTAATCACAGCAAGCATGTATTTGTAAAATTTCATATTTTCAAAGTAAATGCTGGCTTTATCATCACCACCATGGAGAAATCACCTGTGAAAACTCTAGACAATACTTCACTTGAGGTTAACAGCCTCTATTTTTTATTCAACAAAGGAAAACAAATTTATTGTAGAAAATTGGGGAATGAAATAAAATGGTAAAAAAGAAAATTTAAAAAATCCTCAATCCTTACACTCAGGAATATCGTTTCTCTTTTCACTGTATGTTCTACAGAACGCTTCCCATACAATGGAAATTATGCTTTAAATTTAGTTTAAATTTAGGCAAAATGCTTTCCCACAAGCATTTGGCCTATGTTTCACCTCTCTCTCTCTCTCTCTCTCTCTCTCTCTCTCTCTCTCTCTCTCTCTCTCTCTCTCTCTCTCTCTGTGTGTGTGATTCCATTGTGGTAATGCACCACAACTGAGTTAGTCATTTTCCAGTTGGTAGATGTGTCTTATATTGCCAGCTATATCTATCATAATATTTTCAAAGAGATCACTTGTTAGTCAAGTGTCTGCAAACCTTGCAAAGTACATGAAACAAAATCCATAATTGAAATACACAGTGGAGTATGAGGATATGTTTATAAAACAATAACAATAAAACCCTTTGGGGGATAATATTTTTGTTTTATAACATTCAAAATTATCTAAATAATTCTGTAGCCTTTCAATTAGTGATGTGCTACGAATCTAGTGATATGCCTCATTTCTACTAAATAAATTCATTTTTACAATTTTTTTCTCCATACTGACAATAGACATCAACTAAGAAGAGAAAAAATTCTGTAGAATATGAACACTGACAAATAATTTCTGAAACATTTTAAAATGTAGACCACATATCAAGTTAAGTCCAGTAAAATTAGGAACTCATGCTGTTGAATTATGCTTCATATAGGACAGCACACAGAAAGTGAAATCAGAAGTTCCAGAAGATGTGCTGCCAACTATTTCCTGCATGTTCCCACTTCATTACTTATCCTTCGTGCATGTAAAAAAGGTCCTGGGTCAAATGGGTTTCTGGCTGGTTGTACTACTTTATATTCCCACCAACGGTACAGAAGGGTTCCTTTCCCCCTACAGCTTCGCCAGAAGTATTTATTTGCTTTCTTGACAATAGACATTATGTTGGAGTATGATGGGATCTCAATGTGGTTTTAATTTTCACTTTAAAAAAAAGTTTGTCTTGTGGCTTTACATCCGTCACATTAGGTAGCTCCATACTATGAATACCCAAACCTCGGCATCACCAAATCACAAATGTTTCTATTACCCACACTAAATGTTTATTTTGAGCAAGATCCCGTTTTCACTTTAGGATCCCAACTGAAGAGGCAATCACTCTGTGGAGCATCCTGATCTCATAGCAGAGAAGAAAGAAAAAAACCATGATCTTCAGTGTTTTGTTTTTGTTTTTTCCTACCCATGATTGATTGAAGCCAGTCTGAGGAGGAGCCTAGTGTCCATGAGATGCCAATAAGAAGGGACAGTATATCTTCCTGTAGGCAGAAAACTCAAGTGTCATGGACAAGCCAAATGCCAGCAAGCTAGAGAAGCTTCAGGGAATTAATCAGAGCTAGTGTGATTCCACATCACATGTCTCACTTGTTGGATACCTTAGCACCCTTCAGTGGTGCTAGTAAGTGCATCTTAGCATTTTTCAATTATAGTAAAGTACATGTAAGGTTAAAACCCATCTTAACTATTTTTAAATATATAGTTTAAAGGTACTGAGTACATTTTCAGTGCTGCCTAGCACATCAGTCGTCAGACCTCTCATCATCCTGCAGAACTGAAGCTCTAACTGTTTAACAGTTCCCATCTCTCCTCTGTCTGCCTCTGGGAAACCCCCACTGTGCATTCGAGTTCTATGAATTCACTGCTGTAAATATATAAGGCAAATCATATCAGATTTGTATTTTTATGGTTTTCTTTTTCACTTAATGTCCTCAGGGTTCATCCATGCTGTAATATGAATTAGAATTTCACTGCCTTTTAAAGGCTAAATGATATTCCATCACATGTAACCGCTTAATTAAAATTGATTTTCTTCCCTTTCTTTATTCAGCACTGGGGATTGAACCCTGAGGTATTCTACCACTAGTTACATACTCAGCCTCTTTCATTTTAATTTAGAGACAAGATCTTGCTAAATTGCCCAGGTGGCCTCAAACTTGTGATCTTTCTGCCTCAGCCTCCCTAGTAGCTAATGTTACAGTCGTGCTCCCCCATATCCAGTTTGCATCCAGCTTTTGACCGCTGTGAACACAAGTATGCAATGTTTTTAAATCTCTGGGTCTAGATGACCCGTTACAGAAATGAGTATTATTACAACACAATGTATGAAGCACTAAATAAATTATATAAAATTATATTATAATGCTAATATATTGTAGATGTAGACTAAGAAATTACTAGCAATAAAAGAATTTTAACTACTGAGGACTAAGTTTCTCATCAGAAATTCTCAGATGATGTTCTTCTTATCAGAGATGCTAAAAGAGATTATTTTTAAAGCAGCCCACAATTATTTTTGAAAGTTTAAAAATTTTAAATGGAGCATTTGCTTCATGTGTTTAAAGAGTAGCAAAAAGATGAGTGACATCTCAATCTGATTACTGCGTGAGTATTATTGTTTGGGATGAGGTTTAAATAGATGTTTGTATTTTTAACTCAAGTCAATTTTTTTTTAAAAACAGCAAAAATGTCAGTCGTGCATGAGTATTTAGTGCTCAAAAACACTGATATGATTCAACAACATCAGAATATCAGACTCAAAAGCTTTTTTACCTTCTTTTTCCTCCTTTTTTTTCATTTTTGTTATTTTAACAATAATTCATTTCAGACTGAACTTACTCTGCTCATCTATTTTGGATTTCACACATGATAAACCCCAACTTGTAATCATTTCTTCTGCAGGGCTACTATTGGGATAGCTGATTCAGTCCAGATGACTCAAATTTACTGTAACCTCCTCACACACACGTCTCATAGGACAAACCGTGGTTGGGTGTTTTGCATGAGCCACATCAAATCAAACCTTCCTTTTATACTGGCCACAGAGACCTGCAGACTGTGAGGCAGTGTTCCAAATCATGCCTTTCTATTTTTAGGATTGAGTAACCAGAACATGCTTATTAGGATTTGACACTAAGCTATTGCCATTATACAACATTTTTGTTGTTATTACAGTATTACAGCTTAGAGAATTCCAGCTGAACTAAGTTCATGGTTAGTGTCAGATCAAAAAAATAAAAATAAAAATAAAGCAGCAAAGAAAAGTGCTAAAGAAGAAACAATAAACAAAAGCATCCATAGGGCATGTCATCTTATTTGGTGTTATTAGTCACAAAAATGTATGAGAGTTCTTGCCATCTGTAAGTCCAGCTGTATTTCCCTCACGGCTCGAGTCAATGATGTTTAAGAATTTCTCTATGGAGGAGAGCTTTTACATCATTTTCCCATTACAAATTTAGTTAACCAAATCATATTCCATGGCTGAATCCACAAGTACAATATTTTTTCACACTGATAGGGGGCAGCTGGGATGCTGTTGACAAAGGAGACCAATATTTGTTGTCTCGTGATTGACAATAAATTGAGTCATCAGAGTGCCATCTGCATAGCTGATGGACAAATGCTATGGACCTCTCCCCCATCCCAAGGGTTTTCTGTCCGAGTTCACGAGAGGGAATTTAACTATGAAGCCAACTTTATAAACCTCAAAGAGTTTCATTAGTTCTCTAATGGAATTCTCATTAACTTTTTAGTGCTTTGCCTTATTTTTCTTAAAAATTGATTTACACTCAGAAAAGGGAGACTTTAAAATATAGAAGCTGGGTTGCAATTTTTCATGTTTGTAGCTATTACTTCATGAGAATAAATCTCAGTAATCCTTATTTTTGATTGCTTCCCATTTTCCCCATCTCATCATACAGGCTAGCTTAAAAATCATCCACACTTCATTTAGTGCGGCTTTAATCTGCTCGCTTGGCAATTTCTCTCAGCCTTCTGTGTCAAAACAAGTTACATCGCCTGCCTCACTGGGTTTATCAACACGTGTTGCTCTAGTGGTGGTTATAGGGATTTACTTCTTTCCAGTATGGACATGTTTTCCAGGAGGCAGCAAATGCATTGTGAAGTGTCCTAAAATAGATGACGAATGTAATAAAATGAACTTTCTCACCATTTAATTGAAATGCCCTATAAAAAATAAATGCGGCTGCTGTTTTTGTTGTTGTTGTTGTTTTGTTTTGTTTTGTTTTTTCCTAATTGCATGTGTAAACCATACATTACCAAAAGAGTGATCTACTTCCGCTGGCCTCCTTTGATAGGCATTTGTCTGCTCCACTGAAAATACTACTCGGTGCTCAAATGGGTTTTAATTTCTCATTTTGTATCTCAAGCTCCCAGTCAGCCTCCCGGAAATGTTGTGTGGAATGCAACCGATTCTAAAGTGTTACTTAACTGGGAGCAAGTGAAAGCAATGGAGAATGAATCTGAAGTCACAGGATATAAAGTAAGTTGCGTAATTTGTAGTGCTTTGTTCTCCCTCTTCTTTCCCAGGGAACGATGGTTGTAAAATGTTGTTGATGTGGTTTATATTCTCTAATTCTGATGTAGGTATCAAGAGTTCATTTTAAAAGCCTATTTTCTCTAGATAACTCCTTGTTAAATAAGTTTCCATGAAATAAATCTGCTTGTGTGGGAATTTCGGACACAATATTTGTACATTGTGTTAATGAGTTTTCTACTGCTGATACTCATTGTAGATTATTCTAAACACAACTGAAAGCACTGGCTGTGATTCCTTGATGGGGCACTCATGGCCCACACAGCAGGGCCCTGTCCTGTTTTCCACCTCAATACCCAACCTGCCCAGCTCTTTATGGAAGATCCTTTTTCCCCTACCTCCTTGATTTGCAGAACCCGATGCTTCTACTTGTGCTTGCCTGTAATCTAAGACCTACGGATTGATCTGAGGGTGCAATTTATATTCTCCTGGGTGCAGAAAAACAAAATAATTTTACTGTTACAAGAGAAGGTATTGGGAAAAAAATAAAAGCAAGCAACATAAGAACTGTCTTTGTTTGTGCATTTTAGGTTTTTTATAGGACTAGCAGTCAAAACAGTGTGCAAGTGTTGAATACAAATAAAACTTCAGCTGAACTTTTGCTGCCCTTTAAGGAAGACTACATTATTGAAGTCAAGGCCACAACTGATGGAGGGGATGGCACCAGTAGTGAACAGATCAGGATTCCAAGGATTACCAGTAAGTTGGTGAAGCTCGGTTTTTCCTTTACTTCCATCAGGGTTGCTGAACCCTAGTGGTGTCTTTCTGCCCGTTTGCTCTCAGCACACATGCCTTTTATGCCAAGGCTGAGAAGCTTTCACAACAACAGTGATTAGAACAGAAGAAAAACCTCAAGAATAGTGCATAACAGGAAGAAAGATGAGGACTTGGAGAAAAGACATTAAAAAATATTTAGCAAACTTTTATTTATTTTAATTGTTTTCCTCATTCTGAGCTATGCTTAAATTAGCCTTTGGATAGCCTATGTAAACAGAATTCCCAAGCTTTTCTCAAGAGCAACATTGAACACACATACTGTTTTTTTAAGATCTTTAGTATTCCAGTAGTTTGCCTCTTACAAATTATAAATAAATGTTACCAATTCACTCAGTAGAAAAATTAACGGTTATATGTCAACCCAAAAGTTACTTGTTTTAGGAAAATCTAATTCTAATTTACAAAGAGGTTCACAAAAGTTGTTTGTTTGTTTCCTCAAAATTGAAATGAAACATATTTTACCAGCAGAGTGAAGGCAAATAGCCTTCAGCATATATATTTTATCAGTGTCAGTAGTACAAAAACATTTCATCTTCCCTTTTAAACCCTATGTATGGAGTTGCCAGTACTGAAGAGCCCTTCTTGTCTTCAGTCTCTATTCCACAGTGACATGAATAACTTCGTTTCCTGTTTCCCTTTATTGCCTTGGGCTTCATCTGTAGTGTAGGGAAAGGTTGATATGATTGGCTTTAATTGTGGAAAAGAAGGTGGCTGACACCGATAACTGAAGAACACTGATAACTGAAGAGAAAGGGAGATAGGAAAACTTGGAGAAATTTTGTCTTTCTATCAAATCATAGTCTGCCATCCTTTGACCAAAGAAAATTCAACGTAATTATCTTGGAGCTGAGTTCTACAAGTTTCAAGTCTATAAAAGTCATTTCAGACTACAAACATTTGTGAAACTTACGTACTCAGTCAACCAAAGAAGGGATAAAAATATATTTATTAATTTAGGTTTTAAAATGATTAGGACATACTTATTGTTCCCTGAATAATGCAAGGAATAGAGTTCCCGTGACTGTATAGACAAAGCCATACCATTCAGAAGGAGTCTGCTTTGGCAGGGTCAGGCACTATTAGCATTAGGGGCTGCTGAGTCAAGATTAGCATTTTCATCTGACATCTGAGTCTTGCTGAGTTTGCACAGAATGGCAACTGCACAGGACTGTCTCTGAAAATGGTTTTATTTTATTGATTGTTTTTAAAAATGATATTTTAGATTGTGTGTAATAATTTATTTGCATAAAATAGAAAGAAGCATTTTCCAACCCCTTTTCCAATGAAGCTTTCTTTAATTAAACCATTGAATTACCCCACAGTTGCCTGTGATCAAGTGTAATTATTTTTTAAATGATAAAGTTGTTTTTCCAATTTCAATTAAACTTAAGTAACACTAGATGAACAAAGCCTGTAATGTTTGAGAACGCTTAAGATACATCAGTGTTTTTATACTCTTGGCAACAAATACATGCTATATTGATGCATAAAATAAGGACTAATGTGATTGATCCATCTTAGATTTATGTTGTAATTTATGTTGTAATTTTTTAATTTATAGGAGAATCATTGCTTTTATAGATGGCTTAATCTGTTTAGGCTGTTTTAACAAAATCATAGATGGGGTGTTTTATAACTACAGAAATATATTTCTCACAGCTTTGGAGACTGAGAAATCCAGGATCAAGGTGCCAGCTAATGCAGTGTCAATTCTCAAGGGCCCCAGCTCCTAACATCATCACATTGAGGGACTGAATTTTTAACATAGGATTTTGGAGGGAACTCAATTTCTAGCAGCCTGATTGCATAGTAGCATAATCTTTATTAATGAGCTGTTTATCATCTTTGACAGATATGGACGCAAGAGGATCCACTTCAGCCATCTCGAATGTCCACCTTATGTCAAGTTATATACCTGTGGCACTGTTCTTTATTGTAAATGCCCTGTGGTGATGTTTATTCTATTTTTATTATTTACTGGAATTGGTTACCAAAAAAAGTGCTTTCATGAAACAGTGATTGTGCATGTTTTTTTAACTGTTTCTAACTTTCTACTTCATTATAGGTAAAATATGAATATAATAAAAAAACGGTTAATCCTGTTAGAGGAATCTGAAATGCCTTAATATTTACTTGATAAGCCAAAGGAATTTACATATTACATACTGCAAATTTTTGATATCAATTCTTTACGAGTTTATGACAAAAACTCGCATACTCCCACATAGCCACACACACACACACACACACACACACACACACACACACATTTTTAAATATTGAAATGTTCTTCATTTAATCCAAATGCTCTTCTCCCAATATCACAACATTATTTGTAAGACAATCCATATCATTTTAAAATGATGATTTAAATCTCCAGGGGTGAAAATACATTTAAATAATTATCTTATTAGAAGGGAATGGCATTGTATTGCTGGAAAATGCTTTTGGGGAGCTTAGTAGAGTATGTTTTCTTTAGTGTGCTACTAAATTATTGTAAGAATTTAGATTCCACTTTGCTCTCTGTACCTCTCAATCATTCATAAGCAAAATGCAATGATAGTAATATCTGTCTGAGCTGCCTCTGACCCATGAATTAGTTGTTAAAAATTAAAGGAAATATGAAAGTGCTTTGTCAATCCAAATGCCATGTTTCTGTGCAAACCGTTGCATGGATTTCCTTAAGCATACAAGATTCATGAAGATCAGCTGCATTTCTTAAGCTTTTTCATATTTTAAAGTATAATTTTGAAAAGAATTATTGTCTTCACACCTAAGATAGCTTTCAGACTTTAATAAAACCCAGTTGAGAAAATAAGGAGTAACATAAATCTCAACCCAAATATTAAGCAAAATCTACACAGTTCTTTTCTTTTTCTGATTTCTGGTTCCATTAAGGGCTGTTTTGGTTGGTGCCGACTTTTTTTTTTTTTTTTTTAATGAGAGAAATTCCACTGTATGTCTCAGTGAGTCAAGCAGGCTTTTCTGTTCCTGAGTTAAACTTATAACTGAACCATGATGCTACTGCTGACTTTGATATGTATGATTCAGTCTTTGAAGGTGTGGTTTTCAAAGGACTGCCGAAGACATGATTTAATAGCAATATGTAAAGAGTACACGAAAATCGGCTGATACAGTATTAGACATTCAAAATCATTTTTTTTTTATCTTTTCCCTAACAATTTCACAGTTCCCTGGAACTGGTTCATATTTTCAAAGATAACAGAACTTGGAACCAACAGTTCAACTCCAAAAAAAAAAAAAAAAAAAAAAAAAAAAGATTAAAATTAGTGAAATTTTGAAATATCCATGAAGTACCACTTTAACATTTAGAGATTTCGTTAAAGATGAAGTCATCTTCACAGGAGAAAAAAATATAACTGTCTCTGTAAGGTCTGTATATACTGTATATAAAGAGAAAAATCTGGCTAGTAGATTTCATATGACCATCATTATTTCCAATTAAAAATTGGGGAAACACTTTCTCCAATACTTGTATTTTATGCTACATGTAATGAATCGTTACCTTTTTAATAACTAGTAATTCCTATAATATGTTCCTACATTTCATTTTCAAGATGATTATTCTCATTTCAAGTTGTTTCTAGAAATATATCTCCATGAGATATGAAAACTTTTTCATATTGAAAAGCATAATATTTATCTTTAAATTTCTGTGTGTGTATCCTATGGTTATCTGTATGTATTATTTTCTATTCTAATAAAATTTATAACAATCAAAGGCTCTTGCATTATTAATTTAGTATAGTCGAAAGAAACATCTACAAGGAAAATAGGAGACATATAATAGTTACACTGGTGCTATCATTTCTTATAATATTTGACCTTCTAAAAAATTATTTTAAAATTATTTTTAGACCCCACTGGCTCAGTAAAATCAGCTATTTGAGAGGGTGACCTCTACCTCAAAGACAGTCTGGCTGTGAGAAGAGGAATTCACCTTGGAGAATTATGGTGTCCAATTTATTCTGATTTTATTTGGTTTCAGGTCAATTCACATTTAACATCTTTTCCCCTCAAATTAATATCCATTTTATCACATTCTTCATAGACATTCTCCTATCAGTTTAGTGATTTACTTTTAATGATTTTTGTGATACAATACAGTCTAGATATCTGAAAATTATGCTAGAAAAAAATTCACTTTTTAAATAAAGAATTTTAAATGTTATTGTTGATGTAAGGAAAATGAGAGCTAAATATGTAACTGTTCTACATTGGAATTAGAGGAAAGAAAATTCAGTGGGAAACCTACATGCAGGCATTGTGGGTAAGGGAGAGAGTGTGTTATTTTAAATTGAAGGCCAGTTGTGATGGATGTATTAGTAAACCCTAATGGAGGGGAAAGACCTGTGGGCTATCCAAAAACAGATTCTGTCAGCAAACAGCACCAATGATCAAGGCTGATGGAAATACCAAGTCACTCTCCATCCTAACAACACCTTCACCTGTTTGGCCGGGTGACCTTGCTTAAGTTCCATCGCTCCTCTAAGCCTAGCTTCCCCTTTACACATGTAAAATGGGGAACATGAAGTACTGTCCTCGCAAGTTCATGAGATCTTTAGTGAACACAGAACACTGTGCTGAAGTGCTATGAAGTTATCCGTGCTGTCCTCTTCAGGCCACGAGTTTGTAAATGAAATAATGTTCCTGAGTCTTGGAGCCATGTTCTTCCCATCACTTTTCTAGTCAACAGGAAATAACAGGAAGATAAAAAGACACACTTTTAAAGTGGTTTTGTTTTAATATTTGTAGACGTTTCCTTCAGTTTCATTTTACTCAGAAAGCTGTTGATACAAGAGAAAATGTAACTGCCAACACACTAGATGTCAGATGCTCCATGTGTGTCCCCTGAATCGAAGGCTGAACTTTAAGGACCAGAGGGAAATAGTAGGAAATATTTATTGAGTGATAGCTCCTGAGAGATAGGAGCAGACTCGAAAGTAGGTTGTGACCAAGGTTATTTTTCCAAGAATATTCTGTAGATCAAATTCACATGAGGGTACAGAATAACAAGATAAGTACAAGGTGGGTAAAGCCAATAAGGTTACAGGTATAACTGCTTAGCTAATATTGATCCACTAGGAGAAGGATCACATAGTAAGGGTTATTTTTATTAGTACATAGTTGTAGCACATACTGATTCCATTCATTGTGATGAGTTAGTACAAAAACTAGTTGATGATGGATGGTGTTTATTTTTAATAATTTCATCATTTTCACTGGAGACCAAGCAGTGTATTTCAGTAAGATAAACAAAATGCTTTTTTATCATGAACTCTGCCTATCCCTATATCTTTGAGATTTCCACCTACTTGCTGTTTCTGTAGATGTAGTGTTTCTGTTTTAATACTTAGAGCTTTGGGCCTGGGGATTTAGCTCAGCGGCATAAGCACCTACCTTGCAAGCAGGTGGTCGTGAGTTGATCCCTGGTGCCGATAAAAAGTTAAAAAAAAATACTTAGAGCTTTGCCCCATTTTAACTTTAGTTTAGTGTTTGGTGATATATATCGGTCTAGTTTTAGTCTTTGACATGTGGAAAGCCAGTTTTTCCAGTGACATTTATCAAAGAGGCTGTTTTCCAGTGAACATGCTTGATGCCATTTGTCAAATATAAGATGAATGTATGTGTTTGTAGTTGTGTCTACATCTTCGAATCTGTTCCATTGATCCTAAAATAAGTTTTTGTTGGTTTTTCTTTGTTTGCTTGTTTGTTTTGCAAGTATCATGCTGATTTTATCACAGTAGCTTTGTAATATAATTTCAATTCAGGGATTGTGAGGCCTCCTGTCTTCCTTTTGTTGCCCATGATTGCCTTTGCTATCCTAGGTCTCTTCTGTTTCCAAATGAACTTTAGAAATGTTTTCTCCACTTTATGAGGTATGCTAATAGTATCTTATTTGAGATTCACATTAAATCTGTAAAACAATTTTGGGAGTATGCCCATTTTCTCTATGTTGGTTCTTCCTATTCATAACCAAGAGATATTTTTCCATTTCCTGATATCCTCTTTGAATATATTTTTTCAGGGTTCTGTAATTTTCAATGTATATATCTCTTATTTCCTTTATTAGATTAATTCCTAAGTATTTTTTGTGTGGTATTGTGAGTTTGTAGTTTGTGCACAGGAATACTATTGATTTTTGAGTGTTGACTTTGTATCCCACTACTAAATTTGGTTATTAATTCTAGAAGTCTTTTGGTGGAGTTTTAGGGTCTTTTATGCTGAATATTATGTCATATGCCCAGGATGACATGATACTGTAAGAATCAACAACTGGGATCTCATCTTATTAAAAGGTTTTTGCACTTTTTTCTTTGTCTTTTTTGTTTTTTATCGGTACCAGGGATCGAACTCACGACTGCCTGCTTGCAAGGCAGGCGCTTATGCCGCTGAGCTAAATCCCCAGCCCCTTATTAAAAGATTTTTGCATGTCAAAACAATTGCCAACAAAATGAAAAGAAAATCCACTGAGTGGGAAAAAATTTTTAGTCAACTGTCCCTCAAACAAATGACTTCTATCCAGAACATATAAAGAATTGAAAAAAACCAGGCCTCCAAACTCAAAGATCCAATCCAAAAATGGGCATCTGAGATGAATACATATTTCTCAGATGAGTAAATACAAATGGTAAATAAATATATGAAAATAAAGTTCAACATCATGGGTCACTTGACAAATGCAAATTAAAACATCATTGAGATTCCCTCTTAACATAGAAGGAATGGCTGTCATGAAGAAATCAACCATTAATGTGCTAGCAGGGCTGTGCCAAATTAAAAAAAAAAAAAAAGAGGGGAGTCCTTCTCCACTGTTGGTGGGAGTATAGAGTGGTAAGACAATTGTGTAAATCAGTTTGGAGATTCCTCAAAAAATTGCAATTAGAGGTCCTGTTTGAAGATACTCTTCTTCTGGATATTTTCCCAGAAGATTTAAAAAACATCATACCACAGTAATATGTGTGCACCCATGTTTATAACAGTACAATTTATTATAGCTAAATCTTGGAAATACCTCAATTATGTATCAACAATGGAATGAATAAAAATAGTGATATTTTTAGATGATGGAGTACTACTCAGCTATAAAAATAGTGTAAACTCAAGGCTTTTATAGGTAAACAGATGCGGCTAGAAACCATACTCATAAGCAAAATAAATCAAACTTGTGTAAATATCACATTGTTTACTTCATGTAAGAAACTGAAAAGATAAATAAAATCTTAAATCTACAATAGATCTTGTGAAAGGAAAAGAAACTACTCAAAAGGAAAGAACAACTAGATAGGAGAAAAAGAAATGATGTGAAATAAATAAATATATCCATATATCAATATATATTTTATCAATATCAATGTATTATGTCAATATATAGTATATATATATTATATATAAAAGTTAAGAAAGTTATGCTACTAATTTCTTTTAGTTCCTTAAAAAAGTTTGTGCTTATATTATTTGATAAATTATGCATTGCTGTATCTGAGTAGTTACTTTGAAGATAACAATATACAGTATTAATCAGTGTTAATTTCCTATTGTTTTCTTTTGAAATTCTCTATCATTATTTGTATTGCTTTTCTCTTTAAAATAAAAAATCAAAATAATCTCCCATTCCTCTTATAATTCCACCTTATTTATTGAAAATTAATCTTAATTTGGCTCTTTTTTGAAGGTATTTTACTATTTAGCAGTGGAAATTGCCCTGATAGGGATTGCAATTTGGATTTACTTTAGTAAATATTGTTGGTAAAAGCAATCCACAGCCGCAATTATGAAATAAGCAATGAGTAAATTGTGCCATTCTTTTAAGGGAAAACATATAAACTCTTTGGAATATAGTTTATTTAAATTGTTAGATTTTTCTGCTCTTTTTATTTAAAGTCCATGCCCTAAATTAACATATCTTCCTTAATATGTAGGCGATAATTAACTCTTGAACTTTCATGGAGAATTAATCTCGGATAAGAGATGTAAATTAGCACAGAAAAATGCTTCTGTTATTTGTCTCTTGGTGTCTGGCCTATTCCTCTTACCTTGCAGGACTTCTCCAAATGTACTCTGTACCTAGTTGTTGGATTAAACCAATAAATTTTTTATCATTTGCTTTTACTCTCCTCTATCTATTTTGTTTGATTTTTATCTTCTTTGCTGCTCTGGAGTTTATAAATTATGATCATTAGGAGAATAAGAGATATTATAAAATGAATTTAAAATAATTATAAAGAGTAGACCATTTGTATAGAGAAAGTTAATAAATTGGCAAAGAAAGCTAAATGATTA